ACCCATGTCACTTTAGTTTTGTGTATTTCACTGCACATAAACTATATTTCAATAAAATGCATTAAAAAAATAAATAAATAAAAAATAAAAAGAAGCAAATTAAAACTACAATGACATATCATCTCACTCCTAATAAAATGACACTGATAAAAACAAAACAAAACAGAAAATAACAAATGCTGGCAAGGATATAGGGAGATTGGAACCCTTATCCCCACTACTGGTGGAACTGTAAAATGCTATAACCACTATGAAAATGGTATGGCACTTCCTCAAAAAACTAGTAATAGAAATACGATACAGCAATTCCATTCCTAGTAATATACTCCAGAGACCTAGAGAAATGACATGAACAAATAAAAGCACATCTATGTTCACTGGGGCATTATTCACAACATTAAAATGGAAACAATCTAAGTGTCCATTAATGGATGAATGGATAAATAAAAAACATGGTATATACATACAATGGAATACTATTCACTTATAAAGAATAATAATGCATTTTCAAAACATATTATAATATGGATGAATCTGGAGGACATTACGCTGAGTGAAATGGTTCAATCACAAAAGGACACATAATGCATAATAGCACTTTCACAAGGAGAAAAAAATAAGTACATATATGGAGATCAATGTTCACTGGTGGTACCAGGTATGCGTAGGGAATGAGGCAAGGAGGAATAACTTTCTAGATAGTAGATACTTGTTATTTCAGGTGATGAGAAAGACAGCACTAAATGTGGGCAGATTGCATATAGTTCAACAAAGGTAATGATGTCATTAAGAAATACGCAAGATAAAAAGACATTTTTGTAAAGTGTAAGACATGATTTTGCAATAACACAAAAAACAATCAAAAGAAAACCAACGTTATGGTTACATATGTACAAATATATGTGTATGGGTATGTACGTGTGTGTACATATGCATCTATATGAATATGCAGGTATCTGTGTGCATGCATATATATTCATCCATATATATAATAAACCACAGAGCACACAGTTACAGATATTTCTTAGACATAATCAAACACTTCATGAATTTGGTTGTCTGGGTTGGAAGGTTTAGGACCATAGTCTCATGGGACAATTCAGTCAATTGGCATAATATAGTCCATAAAGTTTATGTTTTACATCCCAGTTTGGTGAGTAATGTCCGAGGTCTTAAAAGATTGTGAGTGGCTACTTAAAATATAACTATCTGTTTCAGTTTCTCTGGAGCAAAACAGAAAGGAGGAAACCAAAAACTAGAGAAGAAACTAGTCTACAGGATCAACAGTGTACATGAACTGCAGACTCATCTATCTGGAGACTAGAAGAACTAATTGGTGCCCAGCTACTACTACTGGCCATTTTTATCAGGGCCAAAATATACAAATCCTTATAGAATGGGAGAAAAATGTGGAACACAACTCAAATTTTTTAAAAAGTCTAGACTTACCAGACCAACTGAGGCCAGAGTACTCCCTGAGACTACCGCCCTGAGCTACCCTTTAAATCTTGAACTGAAACTATATCCTCAGATTATCTTTTAGCTAAATAAAGACTGGCTCATGAAATAAAAAACATAATCTGTGAGTAATGTGCTCCTTTAAAAATATCATCTATGTGAAACCAAATAGTCAATAATCACTCTAAAGTAAAGATGAGAAGGTAAGGGAGCAGGGAAACTAGATTACTAGAAACAGAACAATCAGAATGGACTTAATAAGAATGTTGACACATTGTAAAAAATGTAACCAGCATCAGTGAATAATTTGTATAGAAACTGCTAAATGGGAACCAAATTTTCTGTGTAAAGTCTCATTAAAATATTATTCATACAAAAAAAGAAAATATGCTCTAAACATTCTAATAGGCCACTATTCTAATACAATCAGTATTCTAAAAATTCTATTATTCTCAATCTAAATGAATACTGACTGTAAACAAAAACAAAGTAGTATGGGATTTTAAATGTTGTTGTTGTTATATGCCATCAAGTCAGACCCGACTCATAGTGACCCCTTCTTGGGTTTCTGAGGCAGTATCACTACGAAAGTAGATGGCCCCATCTTCCTTCTGAGGAGTGCCTGGTGGATTTGAACCACCAGCCTTCTGGTTAGCAGTCATGTGCCTTAGGCATTATGCTACCAGAGCTCCTAGGGATTTGAAATATATATTATAAAATATGCATAATTAAATATATCCGAAAATAATATAAAAGGCAGGATAGGGAGTTAAAATGTTTTAGGATGCCTACATTGTCTACTAAGTAGAAAAACATTACTTTTTATTAGATTCTTACTAGCGGTTTGGAAGGGAGCTCTGGTGGCATAGTGCCTAAGGCAAGTGACTGCTAACCAGAAGGCTGGCAATTCAAACCCACCAGCCACTCCTCAGAAGGAAGATTGGGCAGTCTACTTCCATACTGCCTTGGAAACCCAGGAGGGGTCACTGTAAGTAAGATCTGATTTAACAGCAGTGAGAGAGGTCTGGAATAGCTAAGGGAGACGAACTTGTATGTCAGTTTGTCCTAATGTGGTGGCTTGCGTGTTGCTGTGAGGCTGGAGGCTGTGCTGCTGGTGTTTTACATGCCAGCAGGTTTACCCATGGTGGACAGGTTTCAGCAGAGTTTCCAAACTGAGACAGACTTGGAAGAAGAAGAGGCCATCCACTTCTCAAAGAATTGGCCAGGGAAAACCTTATGAATAGCAGAAACACTGCCTGATACATTTACAGGGCAACTTTATGAATAGCCCTGAAACAATGTCCGATACAGTGCCAGAAGATGAGCTCATTAGGTCGGAAGGCACTCAAAATACAACTGGGAAAGAACTGCCTCATCAGAGTAGAACTGACCTTAATTACATGGATAAAGTAAAGTAGCACTAGATAACTAAGACAAGAGGCAAAAGATCGAACAGGCACTTCAAAAAGAGCATATCCAAATGGCCATTAATATATGAAAAGGTGCTAATCCATACTGGTTATGAAAACAATCCAAATTTAAATCACAATGAGATATCACTACAAGTCTTTCAAAAAAAGCTAAAATTTAAAAACACTGATTATTCCAAGTGTTGAAAAACATACAGAAAAGTATTTGGCAGTATCTTCCAAAGCTGAATTTAAGTATGTATCCTAAGACCCAGCAATTCTACTCCTAAAAGCATATCCAAAAGGAATGTGTACATTTATACCAAAATAACTGCTCAAAAAACTATTCTTCTTAATAGCTTCAAAATCAATCTAATGAACATCAAAATGGAATGGATAATCAATGTTCTATATTTATTTAATGGAATCTTCCTTGGTAACAGGAATAAAGAAAGAGACTAGATGGGCATTATACACATAATAAATGAAAGAAGCCAAATCCATTCCTCACTGTCCCTACTGAAAAAAAAAAACACATATATTACAATTGTGTATCTAAAGTTGAAAAGAGGCAAAATTTATTAAAAAGTCATGATAGTAGGGATAGTTTAGGATAATACAGGGAAGTGATAATAGAGATAGGGCACAATTGGGGCATCTAGAACGATGATAATATATATATGACTTGGCTGCAAGTTTCACACTTGTGTTTATTTGGTGATATTTCATTAAGTTGCATACTTATGTTCTAGGTACTTTTATCAATATGTATTATTATTTTCTAAAAAAGTTTTAAAAGTGAGTATAAATCTAATTTCATATGGTTAGTGTAGATTTTAAGGATTAAAATGCAGTAATTCATACCAAGTACTTACCACAATGTTGAACACAAAACAAGCAAAACAACAAGAACAAAAGCCAAAAACAATAGCTATCCATTGTAAACTTGGTCTTAAGATCCAAAACACACTAAATAAAAGATATATTTCATAACCATTTGACAATGCATAAACATGTTATATATCCAAATTATACCTTAAAAAAAAAAAATTAAACCATCTTGCTTTTTAGTAGTTGAGGAAAGAATTATAGTGCAGAATAGAAAACTTTTGTAAAAACCTCATGAAAATTTAGAATTGTAATAACCAAGCACTGAGAGGTACATTTTCATTACCTCTCTGGAAGCTGGTCTATAGCCATAGCCAGATGGTAAATTTTTATCTTCTTCACATCCTTTGGCTCCTGGACTAAAGTGTAATTCAACATGAAACCGTTCCTCTGAGGAAAGATCCTAAAAAATAAGATAGAATATTTTGAAAATGTGGAACTTTGAGCTATTTATTTACCTCTAGTAACAAATGTAAATCAGAATTATTACCTTGTTACCAACCAAACAAACCAAAGCTCACTGCCATTGAGTTGCTTCTGACTCACAGCTACCCCCACTGGGTTTCCAAGACTATAAATCTTTATGGAAGCAGACTGCCTCATCTTTCTTCTGTGGAACGATTAGTGGGTTCAAACCACTGACCTTTGTTTGGTTAGCAGGCAAATGCCCTAACCACTACACCACCACAGCATATCATTACCTTGTTAGGATCCTCGTAAAGCATGATAACAATTTGAGTCATGTAGTTGAGTTCATTGACAACATTTAAATAATCCATAGCTCGTTTCCATTGTTCATCCTTTGATTCCTGAACAAAAGTATATGGTAATTATTTTCTCATATTGCATTCCTTGAAAGTCATTCTATTTCCATTACAGTAGTCTGTCTAATTCTGAGTGATAACATACAAATAAAGTGAATATTTATCATCTCATATACATGACCTTTCAAAGTAACTCCCTATAATTATAAGTTTCAAAAAATTACTTAGGCTTGTTTATCTTAAAACTCTCTTACCAGTAGCATTAGTGACTCCACTTTAAAACAGCTTTCAGATAAGTCAAAGCAATGTCTTGAACCGTAACACAAACTACTGAATTATGAGGTTAAAGAGCAGTTTTTCGTCTTATAATCCCCAGACCAAAAACCAAAAAACTCACTGCCATCGAGTCAATTCTGACTCACAGTGACCCCCCCACTGGGTTTCCAAGGCTGTAGCTCTTTATGGAACTAGATCACCCCATCTTCCTTCCATGGAGCAGCTGGTGGGTGAACTGCTGACCTTCTGGTTAGCAGCCAAATGTCTTATTCACTACGCCACCAGAGCTCCTAGTATAATACCAGAGTACCTAGTAAGATATCATGCTTCTTAAACTCAAAATACTATTCTGTAAGAGTAGTGCAATTTTTTCTACCAACATATAGTTTGTATATCCAATACATGCCTATCGATAAATATCCCTCATTATACTGCAGTTATTAAATATTAGTAAGAAGAATATGTAGACTCTACTGATTTCACTATCTCCTCCATTTCTCTACCTCCATTTGAAGATGTTTTTGGTCTTTAATATGTAATCACAGAGCATCAGAGCACTCTTTCTGTGCTACTTTCTAAATATGTATTCAAAAAAAGGTTCATGTAAGACAATGTATCCCTCTTCCTAAAAAACAATTTCATTATTACCATGAGTATATAAACTACTGCTTTGCTAATTAAGGGTCATTTTTTTCATTCATGTTACCTTTTATTAAAGTTCCACTAACGCCTATATGTATGCAAAGGATATCATTTTGCTATTCCTTAATGGGTCAAAAAAGAAACCAAATTAGAGGGAAAAATCATATAGATTCGAAAATTCAATGGGAACAGAAAATGAAATAACCTTATGGTAACTTTGATAATAATTATTCATCAAGGTCCAATAAGATAGATTAGGAATCAAAAGACAACTTTCCATGGAGAGGCTGATGGGTTTGAACTGCCAACCTTCTGGTTAGCAGTCAAATGCCTACAGCACTATATTACCAGAGCTCCTATTACAAATGTTACTGCCCTTTATTTAAAAAATACATAACAAAACTGAAATGATTTTTTAAGATCATTTTGTACATAAATGTTGATAGATGTATACATTAATATACATAAAGGAAAATTCTAAACCTTTCTAAAGTTTAGAGATGGCTGAAAAGTTATTTTTGATACGTAATAACAGATGGGATGGCATCTACTCTACTGCCATCAAGTCAATTCCAACTCATAGCGACCCCACTGGGTTTCTTCCGAGGCAGTCAATCTTTATGGAAGTAGATTGCCCCGTCTTCATTCTGTGGAGTGGCTGGTGGGTTTGAATTGCCAACCTTCTGGTTACCAGTCAAATACCCTAGGCACTACACCACCAGAGCTTCTTATAATAAGAAATGTTGTTGTTGTTGTTATGTGCCGTCGAGTCGGACCTGACTCATAGTGACCACTCCTTGGCTTTCCGAGGTGCTATCACTGCGGAAGTAGATTGCCCAACCTTCCTTCCAAGGAGTGGCTGCTGGGTTTGAACCACCAGCCTTCTGGTAAGCGGTCAAGTGCCTTAGGCACTAAGCTACCAGAGCTCCTAATAAGAAATGGGGTATTAAAACTTCTCAGTCTCTTTTGACATATACTCTGCCAATCCCGAAAATGCCAGTTTCTTCCATTTTTTAAACACAAATTCTCTAAGAATCTCATCAACTGCCACTGCCTTAGCTGTCTTATACTGCCTTATCACTAACCCAAACCTCTATTCTCACATATTGGTCATCCACAGTTTACTAGATTAAAGGCCCCTCAGTCTGTCTAAAAGTAAACTCACTGCTTCCCTTCTTATACCTTTTCTTCCCCAGGTGTTACTTATCTCAGTGAATAGTATGATTATTTACCAAATTTCCCAAGTTAGAAATGAGGGGATCTTTCTTTACTCTTTTTTTGATTCCTTACCTTTCATATCAGCAACACTGGGAAGACCTAGAGGAGAAGTGTTGTTGAAAGTCTAAGGAGCCTAAAAGAAGAGTGTTAGTGAAAGCCTCAAGGACCTTGAGGGGCCGGTTGGTGAGGTAAGAAAAATGTCACTGGGAGCCAGAGGAAAAAGAACCTATATAGTTGCAGAAACACAAGGAGAATATAAGATGAATAACTAATGAACCCAGTAAGTCAGCTATGCAGATTTCCAAAAATACTGAAAGTACCACAAAGCTTCTTCTCACTGCCTGTGACAAAATATGAGATAAGAGGTAAGCTGAAGGACAAACTGTTAATCATAAAGGAGCCAGGACTGGCTGGGTTCAAAAATAAACTTGTTTCTCATTCCCAGCCTCTCCAGACGGCAAACAACGCTATAATTAAAAAGTGGCATTCAGAAGAAAACCAAAGATTCATGGAAACAATTAGTCCTAGCAACTGGTATACAATGCAATCTGCAGCCTATGCAACTATGAGACCAGAAGAACTAGATGGTGCCTGGCTACCACTTTCAACCACTTGGAGGGAGAT